TCAAGATGCATTTAATAATTACTGGTGATTTGAATACTAAAGTTGGAAACAAAAAAGAAGGATTTGTAGTTTAAAATATGACCTTGGTGATAGAAACAATGCCTGAGATCACATGCAAAAATTTTGCAAGGGCAATGATCTATTAATTGACCATACATTTTTCAAAATCATAAATGGTGACTAGACACATGGGTCTCACTAGATGGAATACTCAGAAATTGAATTGACTGTCTGTGGAAAGAGACAATGGAGAAGCTTGATCAGTGAAAACAAGGCTGGAGTCTGACTGCCGAACAAACCATTCATTTTCATATGCAAGTTCAAGATCGAGATGAAGAAAATGAAAACAAGTCAATGAGAGCCAGCACGACCTTGAGTATATCCCACCTGAATTTAGAGACCGTCTCAGGAATAGATTTGATGCATTGAACGTGAAAGACTGGAGATCAAAGACTATAATCTTCAGCAGAATTTGTGTGCATGTATGTGTAACTGTGTATGAGTATATGAGTCAGTGTATATTTAATGCGACATATTATGGGGTGGCATCAAGGACATCATACATGAAGAAAGAAAATCGCTATAAAAAAGTCAAGAAAGAAAGAGCAAAATGGATATCAGAAGAGACCCTGAAACTTGCTCTTGAACGCAGAGTACTTAAAGTGAATGGAAGAAGTGATGAATTAAAAGAACTAAACAGAAGATTTCAATGAGGTAGCTCGAGAAGATCAAGTAAAGTGTTATAATGAAATGTGCAAAGACCTGGAGTTTGAAAACCAAATTCTAAATACACACAGCATTTCTCAAGGCGAAAGAACTGAAGAACACAAAATCCAAGCCTCAACTTGCAATCTATATTAAAAGATTCTATGGGCAAAATATTGAAAGATACAAGAAGAACCAACAGAAGATAGAAGGAATATATTGAGTCATTGCACCAAAATGAATCAGTTGATATTCAACCATTTCGGGAGGTAGCCTATGATCTAGAACTAATGGTACTGAAGTTGAAGAAGTCCAAGCTACACTGAAGTCACTGGTGAAAACAATGCTTCAGAAATTGATGGAGTGCAAACTGAGATATTTCAACAAACAGATGCAATGCTGGAGATGCTAACTCGTCTATGCCAAGAAATTTGGAAGACAATTGCCTGGACAACCGACGAAAGAGAGTCACATTTGTGCCCATTTGAAAGAAAGGTGATCCAACAGATGAAGTCCTGGTGTGGCGCTGTGTACTAATGCACTGGACTGCAAGGTCAACTTGAACCACAAGGTCGCTGGTTCAAGCTCACCAGCTGCTCCTTGGAAACCCTATACAGGGTCACTATGGGTCAGAACTGACTCAACGACACTTAACAGCTACAAAAACAGTCGTCAATACTGGAGTCCTGGTGCAGTGCTATAGGATAAGCACTGGACTATAAGGTTGGTTTGAATTGCAAGTCAGCAGTTCAACTCCACCAGCCACTCCTTGGAAACTCTATACAGGATGACTATGTGTTGGAACTGAGTCTATGGCGCTGTTGTTGTTGTTAAGTGCCATCGAGTCGGTTCCGACCCATAGCGACCCTGTACAGGGTTTCCGAGGGTGTAAATCTTTATGGGAGTAGAAAGCCTCATCTTTCTCCCGCGGAGCGGCTGGTAGTTTCGAACCGCTGACCTTAAGGTTCGCAGCCCGATTCGTAACCACTACGCTACAGCAATAATATCATTAAAATTCGAGTCCTGGTCAGTTGCTGTTGCATCAACACTAGCCTGCTAACTGTAAGGTTGACGGTTCAAACCCACCAGCCGCTCCTCGGAAGCCCTGTAGAGGGTTGCTATAAGTCAGAACCGACTTGATGGCACTTAACAATAGCAACAATACCATTATTAATATTGTTGGAGTCCTGGTGTTGTGCTGTAGGATAAGCACTGGACTTCTAACCACAAGACTGGAGGTTCAAACTCACTAACTGCTCCTCAAAAACCCTATACAGGGTCTCTGTGAGTCAGAACCGACTTGACAACTCCTAACAACAATTGCAGTATCATTAATATCTTGGTAGAAGGATGAGGATTCTGTACCCGTAAAAGATACACAGCCTTGGAAACCCTAAGCAAGGTTGCTATGAGTTGAAATTGACTCAACAGCACTTAACAACAACAACTACATCAATATCACACACAAGTTAAATTTTACTGAAGATAATTTTTAAAAACAGTTTTAAAATAATAAGTTTTAAAAACAAGGAACTGCCGGAAATTCAAGTTGAATTCAGAAGAGAACATGGAATGAGGGCTATCTCTGCTGACATCAGATGGATCTTAGCCGAAAGCACAGAATACCAGAAAGATGTTTACCTGTGTTTTTTGACTATGCAAAGGCATTTGACTGTGTGGATCATAACAAGTTATGGATAACATTGAGAAGAATGGGAATTCCGGAACACTTAATTGTGCTCATATGAAATGACCACGAGGCAGTTGTTTGAAGAGAACAAGGGGCTACAGCTGATTTTAAATCAGGAAAGGTGTGCATTGGAGTTGTATCCTTTCACCATACTTAGAGGACTCCTGGTGTGGCGCTGTGGGTTAATGCGCGGGGAATGCAAAGTCTGCTTGAACTGGGAGGCCCGTGGCTCAAGCTCACCAGCTCCTCAGAAACCCTATACAGGGTCGCTATGGGTCAGAACCCGACCCGATGGCACTTAGCAACAACAACAACAATTCAACCTATGTTGTCGTTGTTGTTAAGTGCCATGGATTTGATTCTGACTCATGAGATCCTGTATAGCGTTTCCAAGTAACGGTTGGTGAGTTTGAACCGCCGAGAACCCTGCAGGCCAGTGCTTTATCCCACAGGGCCACACCAGGACTGCTATTCAACCTATATGGTGTGCAAATCATCTAAGAAGCTGGATTATACGAAGAAGAACGCGGCGAAGAACGCGGCAGCAGGACTGGAAGAAGTCTCGTTAATAACCAATGATATGCAGATGGCACGGCCTTGAAGCCCTTACCAATGGAGATGAAGATTGAACAGCCTTCAGTATAGATTACAATTTAACATAAAGAAAACAAATATCCTCACAACAGCATCATTATAAACAGAGAAAATAGTGAAATTGTCCAGGTTTTCATTTTACTTGGAGCTATAAGCAAAACCCGAGGAAGCAGCAGTTAAGAAATAAAATGACATCAGGCAAATTTGTTGCCACAGACCTCTTTTAAAAAGTGCTTAAGTGTTTAAAGAGTTTAAAGAGCAAATATGTCACTTTGAGGACAAAGGTACACTTGACCTAAGCCATGGCATTTCAATCACCTCATATACATGTGAAAGCTGGCCAATGAATAAGGGAAACCGAAGAAAACGGACACATTTGAATTATGGTGTCAGCGGAGAACATTGAAGAAAAAACAAATCTGCGTTGAAAAAAGTATAGCCAAATACTCCTCGTAAGCCAAGATGGTGGGACTTCCTCTCACGCTCTTTGGACATAATATCAGGAGGGACTTGTCCCTGGGGAAGGATATCATGCTTGGTAAAGCAGTAATAGTTGCTGTTGTTAAGTGCCTTTGAGTCAGTTCCAATTTATAGCAACCCTGTATAGAGTTACTGAGGAGCAACTGGTGGGTTTTAACTACTAACCTTTCAGTTAAAGCTTATCCTATAGTGCCCCACCAGGAGTCCTGGTAAAGTGAAAAAGTCCTTCAATGTGAGAGATTGACGTAGTGGCTTCAGCAATGGGCTCAAGTCCAGCCATGATTGTGAGGATGGCGTGGGATCAGGCAGTGTTTCCCCCTGTTGTTTATGGGGGTCACAATGAAAAGGAGCTCTGGTAGCATAGTGGTTATGAATCGGGCTGAGAACCCTAAGGTCAGCAGTTCGAAACTAGCAGCTGTTCTGCGGGAGAAAGATGAGGCTTTCTGCTCCTGTAAAGATTTACAGCCTCGGAAACCCTGTCCGGGGTCGCTATGAGTTGGAACCGACTCCATGGCACATAACAACAACACCATGAATAAGAACTGACTTGATGGCATCTAACAATAGACACATAGACATGCAGCCACACACAAACTCACATATGAACTCTCACATACTCATAACATACTCCACATGCCCTCACACACACATGTACATTCACACATGCATCCAGCTTCTCTGGATGGGGACGGGGGCTCTCCACTCAGACAGCCAATGCCCCCTGAGTCTTCTCCTTCCTCTTGGGGAAGCTACCCCCCTGTTTCCACCTGACCTCACCTTGTACACCTTTGCATTTATGAGTGGGGAGATCATGATCTGGAAGGGTTTAGGGGTCTGTCCCACATCACACAATGCTGGGTGTAGCACCCAAGGTGTGCCCCCCCGCCACGCTCCCAGCTCCCACCTGCCTCCTTGGCTGGCCCCAGGCCCTCTCTACTGTCCAACGTTCATGGTAGAGCCAGGTGCCTGGCCCTGAGCCAGTCTCCCAAGCTCTCCAGGATGGGAAGACCCTCAGCTCTCACTGCCTCCTTCCAAACAAACCTCCTACCCAGACTCACCCCAAACATGGCCTAGTGCACGGCATTTCCACCGAGGCCCTCTGGGTTGAGGATGGGTTCTGTCCCCCCGTCCCCTCCAGAGTCTGGCTGGATCCCATCTTGGGCCTGTCTTGTTGGGACCCAGGGCCTAGGAACTCCATGTGCACAGAGATGTCCCCATCCTGCTTCAATCCAACCTGCTCTGCTCAGAGCATCAGCTGGGTGGTGAGTTCCCTGTCTCTGGAAGCATCCAAGGAAAGGAGTCACAGGTAAGGATGCTGGAGAGGTAGCCACATGGGACAGGGTGGGGTGAGATGAGTCCCCCTCTGGCTGAGGAACCTGTGGCAGATGCACTGAGGGCTCAGCAGCCTGAGAAGCTGAGACTGAAGGCGGGTGGGGCTCCTGCGTCCCAGCCCTCCTTGACCCTCCAAAGCATCAGACTCAGGGAGAAGGGGATCTCAGGTTCCCCACAGATGACCCACAGGGGTACTCACCCAACACCCCTAGCAGGTACACAGCGACCAGCGGCAGTTGCTGGGCCCCCATGGACGCGTCTCCTCCTGCTTCAGCCTCCGCCAGCTCAGCACCCGTGGGTGAGGGTGTCTGGCCTGGTGTCCCAATCTCTGGAGGGGGTGGGGCGAGCAGGGGTGGGACGGGGAAGCAGGCACTGTGGGGCCTGCGTCACCGTGTTTGAAGCTGAACTGTCAACTTCCTCCTGGTAAAACCACCTGCCCCAGTTCGAGGGGTGGCGCTGGTGTCTGCTAGCTTCCTGCCCAAGGTGTCCAGGTCTGGGACAGTGCCCTGATGCCTCCCAACACTGGGACAGGGACAGGGATTATGGGGGGCATCCAGGGCCCCTGAGCTGGGGGTTATGGGAGGGAGGAGGCCTCGTCCCAGCTGAGGACAGGCTGGGGCCTGAGGGGACCCATTCCTGAGGTGAGGGTTCCTCTGGGTAGCCTCTGGGCTGGGCTGGGGTGGCAAGTGGGGTGCATAGCATTGCCGAGGTGCAGACTCAGTGATGGAAAATCAAAATGAACCTGTCTACTACCCTTTATAGAGGGTGAGGTAGGAAGTTTGGGGGTGAATCCTCACAGGGGTTAGTTATAGCACGTAAAATGTTCCTCCATGGACGCAGGGTGGTATTACAGTGTGTGTGTGATCTCCATGTCAGTTTGTACATATCTCTGTATCAATGTGTGTGGTTTACATGTTGATATGTGAGCTGCATGTCAGTGTGTGTGATCTCCATGTAGATATGTGCACCTCTTTATCGGTTTCTGTGTATGTGTGTGATTTCCATGCCTATATGTATATCTTTACATCAATGTGTATGTGTGTGTTCCCATGTTAGTGAATGTGATCTCCATGTCAGTGCATGTGATCCTCATGTCAGCACACCTGCTCTGTAGGTCAGATATGTGTGTATCTCTATATCAATGTATGTATGTGTGTGATCTCCATGTTGGTATGTGATCTCCATGTCAGTGTGCGTGTGATCTCCATGCCAGTGTATGTGATTTGTATGTCAGTGTATGTGGTCTCCATGTCAGTGTGTATGTATCGCTATATCAGTGCATGTTGATGTATGTGGTCTCCATGTTGGTGTGCAATCTCCATGTTAGCACATGTGATTTGGATGTCACTGTGTTGAGCTCTATGTCAGCTTGTGTAGTCTTCACATTAGTGTGTGTGATCTTCAGGTCAGTGTTTGAGCTCCATGTTGAGATGTGTGTATCTCCATGTAACTGTGCATATTTGTATAACTTCCATGTTGATACATGTGATTTTCATGTCAGTAAGTGCTACCCCATGCCAACATGTCTGATTTCCATGACAGCCCATGTGATCTCTATGTCAGCCTGTGTGTTCTCTGTGTTAGTGTGTGTATATGTGTCTGGTCACCTTGTGAGCATGTTTGTGTTCTCCCAGGACAGGTGAGTTAGAGACATAGACCCAGTCTTCTTGGGTTCCCTATCATCTGGGCCATTCCCGGCAGACATGAAATTTTCAAGGACAAGGTGAGGTGATGAAGGTTACGTGCTGGTGGGCAGAGGTTTGAGCCCTGTTCTCAGCACACCCCATAGTCTCCACTGCTCCAAAGTGCTCCTTCCTTCTACTACTAGGTCCTCCCCGCTTAGACAGGCCTTTCTCTTGTTAAGCTTCTGAGAATGCCTCAGGCCATCAAACATCACCCCACAGCACACTCCTACAATCTCTCTCCCCACAACAGCAACCCCATAGACACCTCATGGCTCATGCATTCAACACTTTGCAGTCTCTGTGAAGCTGAGAGCTAGAGGCTTGGAATCAAGATGCATCACCTCATGCAGACCAAGACCATTCTGTATCCCCAACCCTAGCCTGGGATGGGGTTCCTCAGCCAGGCCTGGCCCATAGCCATGTCCCCTGACCCCACATTTCCTCTTTCCTTGTCCCTCTCAGGTCTGGAAATCCCAGGCTATTCATTTATTTGTTAGTTGTTGTTAGGTGCTGTTTAGTCGGTACCGACTCATAGCAACCCTGAGCACAACAGAACAAAACACTGCCTGGTCCTGCGCCAACCTCACAATCGTTGCTATGCTTGAGTCCATTGCTGCTGCCACTGTGCCAGTCCATCTCATTAGGGGTCTTCATTCATTCATTTGCTCCATGCTAAATTTTCTGACTGGCTGATATTCCAAGGAATGTTCCAGATTAATTTTTCTTTAGAAACCTTTTGCTTGCCATACAAGCTTTGTGTATTAAGTGTTTGTTCATTAAAGCCTATTACAATAATTGCATAATTATGCATAAATTCCATCATTGACATCATTGCAGAGAGAAGGGATTTTTCTTGAGTACCTACAACCAGCGGGTTCCATCTCATCTCACTTTCCCCGCCATTGTGGGAAGTGGGTTGAATGTTCCATGATTCGGAAACTGAGGTTCAGAAAAAAAGTAAAAAGAAAAAAAGGACAAGGACACGCATCCTTGGCTGTATGAGGTGGAGCAGTTGGTAAATGCCCCAAACTGAGATGTGGATCACATTTCTCTGTAGTACTGTAGGATAAACACTGGACTGAAAGGTTAGTCAGAACCACAAGTTCACTGACTGCTCCTTAGAAACCCTATACAGGGTCTCTATGAGTCAGAACCAACTGGATGGCGCTTAACAACAACAACAACAACCCTCACCACTACCCCTCGCTCCTTCACCAGGCTGCCAAACCAAACAAATCCAAAAGGCTTTTTATTTAACCTTTGAGTCTTCATCACACACAAGACTGTGGTTTGTGTTTTGTTGTTGTTGTTAGTTTGCTTTTGGGACCCTGCAAGGCACCCACGTCTCAGATGGCTGCTTTCCTGGCCCTTGGGGCTTGGTACCCGCCCCATTTATTGGAGGGGTCAGCATCATTCCCTGGACACCCTCCTGCCCACTAGGCTCCCGTCGCTGTCTCCCGCCCTTCACCCCTGTCTCCCCCCTTAGTTACTCCAGCAGTTTCTCTCCTTCCACCCCTTTCAGGCCCCTGGCTCCCTCAGACCCCAGATCCCTGCTGGGGGTTTCCTGTCCACATCACCAGCATTTTCCATGACACAAGAGGAAGTCAGCTGAGCTTGTGCTGGGTTTTCCAGGCAGGGGCCTGGGTGGAGGCCCTGGGGTGGGGTGAGAGAGGGGGTGCTGAGCCCCCAGGCTGGGTGTCAGTACCTTCTCAGCCTCCCTCGGTAAAGGTGCCTATCTGTGCTGCCCTAGTCTACACCAGGTAAGCAGGGGGTACATGGTTCTGTCTGTGGGTCAGCCTGATCTCCTCTGGGCTCTGTGGACCCCCCAAGCCCCCAGGGTTTGCTCTTTTTGTCAGGTAAATGGGGCTGGGGGGGATCTGCAGGGGTGGGGTGGGAGGAGGGAGGGGGAGGGAGGAGCTGAGAGCTGGGGGAGGAGCGAGGAGACAAGAGGGAGAGAGGGGGAGGTTGAGAAATGTGGGGGTCATGGTAGGACCTCAGTAATGGTGGAATTAAGGAAAGAGTCAGCAAGGTGGTCCCCACAGACTCAGGAAGGGATGGTGGTACCTCTCTCTGCAGGTTTCTATTTGTGGAATGAATCAGTGACCTAAATCCTTCAAAACTTCTCGGCTGTCCTGGGGAGGTACCCAGGGGAGCATGACTTGCAGCCCACCCTCTCACTTGGGATGTGCATCCCCTTCTCTAGCTTTGAGCTTGCCCAGTCAGACCAGTAGTGAAGGACAGACAGGGAGGGGAAGAAGGACGGATGAAGATGCAGGTTCTGTACATGGCAGGGGCTCTGCTCAGATTGGTCATGTGACACTGGGCGAGTCCACTCCTGCTCTGGGCCTCAGTTTGCTCATCTGTAAAATGAGAGGGTTGGTGATCCCGAGGCCAGTTCCCTTGTTCTAGGAATGGGGCAGCTGCTGGTACCTGACTCCAGGTTGGAGGTGGGGGAGGGGTTTCTGCTTGGGGATTGGGAAGGTTTAACTCTGTGGTCTCTGTGAGGAGGGTGTCAAGTGTTGGGGGCTTTTGAGGAAGGGCAGAGGATTCTGGTATACCAGACTCAGTCTTGTGTCTCTGGCCTGAAGGGGTGGTGGGGAACCCCTGGTTGCTTTTCTGGCCCTTCCCATTTTAACCCTAAAGTGGAGTCTTGGCTGAGTTCCCTGTGTTTCAACCTTAAGGACTTTCCTCAGGCAAGTTCCCTACATTTCTCATCTGTGGATGTTAGGGTTGGAAGGCGATGCAGTGTAACAAGCCCAGCCCAAGACGGGGTTCCAGTCAGGATGGTCAATTTCAGTTAATAAAAAGTTTGGGGTCCAGAAGCCAGCTTCCATTTCTAACTGGTATATGACTTTGGACAAGTCATTTCCCCTTTTTGAGACTCATTTTTCTCTGCATTTAAGCCACCACAGGGTCCCAAAGGATAGATGTGGGGGACTTGTAAACCCACGAGCCCCCTTTGTGAGGGGGCTCTGTCTCAGACCTTGTCTACCTCCAGCCTCCTCCTGGCCTCCTAATGTGGCCCGGTCCCCAGAGCTGTACCCCTGGTCTGCAGAACCCGAGTGTGCACACCCTTCATGTTTTCCCTCCTGTTGTCCCGATTAAATTGGGCTTATTTGGGAGAAGGCAATATACAACAAGAGGGAGGTCAGCAGGAGAAAGGGGAAGGTAGGCAAGGACACAGGGAGGAGGGCAAGAGTTGAAGGGAATAGAAGTAGATACTGATTAACTGATAGTTCATGGAGGGAACTGTGATCACTGAAATGAAATAAAATGTGTGATTTGTTGAACGCAAAATTTAAAAACAAGAAATCGTGCATGGCTTCATATAATTACAGTTGCTACAGACATTTCAGAACATCATTCTACTTACCTCTACTTTGAAATCATGGTAGTCATCACTGTTGTTTAGTCTAAATCTTGTTATTTTACTCCTTCAACAATGAAATACACAGCTTACTATATCACAACGTGAAAAAAGCTACTTGGATGCTAACATTTCATTAAATATAAAAAAAGATTGGACTTGTTAGTTTGGGGTTGAGAAAATAGGGTTAATGAGATGGACTGCAAAGTCATTTGAACCGCAAGGTTGGTGGTTCAAGCTTACCAGCCACTCCTGGGGAAAAACCCTATACGGGGTCGCTGTGGGTCAAAACCAACTCGACGGCACTTCACAACAACAAGGAGATAGGAGGAGTAGGACAGGTGTTAAACTAGCCCCTTGTTCAGATGAAATTACCGAGGATCAGAGAAGGTGAGGTGGATTCCTTAAGACACACAGCTTATAGTGACATTTACACTGGGCCCCCAGGTCTCCTGGCCCTTGTCCAGCAT